TTTTGGTGGAGATTGCATTAAATCTGCATATTGCTTTGGGTAATATGGCCATTTCAAGTATGTTGATTCTTCCAATCCATGAATGCCAAAGGTATCATACCATCTGACTTCAAATTATACTACAGAGTAATGATTATCAAAACAGCATTGTATTGGCAGAAAAACAGACAAACAGACCAATGGAACAGATTTGAGAGCCCAGAAATAAAACCACACATATACGACCAAATAATTTTTGAAAAGAAGAAAAACACATACAATGGAGAAATAAAAGCCTCTTTAATAAGTGGTGCTGAGAAAATTGGAAAACCAACCCTGGCCAATTTGTCTCAGTGGTTAGAACGTTGGCCTGTGGTCCAGAGAGACCCAGGTTCGGTTCCTGCTGTTCGGTTTCCAGGTTCGGTTACCTCGGTTGCAGTTTGTCCCTGGCCCTAGTTGGGTCTTGTGAGTGGCAGCCACTTGATGTGTCCCTTTCACGTCAATATCTCTCTCTCTCTCTTCTCTCTCCCTCCACTCTATCTGAACAAAAAATGAAAAAAATGTCCTCGGATGAGGATAAAAAGCTATATATGAAAAAAGAAAATTGGAAAACCACATGCAAGAGAATAAAACTAGACTACAGTTTGTCTTCATGTACAAAAATAATTCAAAATGGATCATAGACCTAAATTTAAGATCTGAAACAATAAATTTATGGACATTGATCTTAGAGAAGATTTTATGAATTTGATCCCAGAGGCAAGGCAAAAATAAATGAATGGGACTATATCAAACAAAAAAGCGTCTGCACAGCAAAAGAAACCACAAACAAAATAACAAGGCAACCAACCAAATGGGAGATGACATTTGTAAACAACAGGTATGATAAAAGATTAATATCCAAAATATATAAAGAACTCATAGAATTCAACATCAAACAAACAATCCAGTTAAATAATGGGCAGAGGACTTGAACAGATACTTCTCCCAAAGACATACAAATTAATGTTCAACAGATATATGCAAAGATACTCAACTTCACTACCTATTAGGGAAATGCAAATCAAAACTACAATCAGTATCCAAATCACGATAAACCCAGATAATTTTTATATGTCCACCACCCAGAGACACTCTTTGTCTTTCTATTATTATAGATTAGTTTTGCCTATTATGAAAATTTCTGTACACATTGGAAACATCTGTTTTAACCACCACACATATCTGAATATAGAATATCTAGCATTTCAGAGGAATATTCTGAAAGCCTCCCAGTCAATACTCACAAATATTACCCACAAATATTACCACTATTCTTATTTCTATCTGCATAGATTAATTATGTCTGTTCTTGATACATATATGATTCCTTATAAATAAATACATGATTTAATATATACATATATTGATATATACACGAATATATGTCTGTATATGGAATCATCCATTATGCAATCTTTCTGTGTAGCTGCTTTTGTTTAAACTTATGTCTTTTACACATTTACTCATTTCAGTTGGGTATGTGCACAGAAATGAAATTTTAGTGTTACAAGATCTTTCTAGCTATCTAGTTATTTATCTATTATGGGCAAATTAAAATATATACACAGCTTTATTTTCCTTTAAACATTTAGTCTGTGATCTTTGTGAAATTGATTTTTTAAAAAATCATGTGATAGAGAGGTCAAGGTTTGTTTACAGAAGGCCATTTTCCTCACTGTATTGCAGTGTGACATTATTGGAGATCCGATGAATGTGTGTTTGTGGCTCTTTCTGGGATCTCTAGTCTGTGCCATTGAACTAGTTTTTAATACTTTGGTCCATAGTCCACTGGCCTAATTACTGTAGCTTTGGGAGCAGTCTTAATATAGATTAATGTAGGTACTCCTACTCTCTTTTATATTCTTTAAGATTGTCTTGACAACTCTAAGCTCAATTAACTTGTTTATATAAACAAATGACCTGCTAGGATTTTATTGAGTTTGCATTCAATCCTATATATCAATGAAGTGGAAATTGAATAACACTGAGTCTCCCAATTCATGTACATGGTATATCTTTCTATATATTTTAGATTTTCTTTTAGTAAAGTATAGTAGTTTTTTAGTGTAGATGTCTTGCAAATCTTTTGTTAAACATAGTGTCAGTTTTTTGACATATTTTAACACTTTAATAAATGGTATTGTTTCCCTAAGTTCATTTTCTAATCGTTTGTTGCTTGTCTGTAAATATACTTTTACTTATACAATTTGATGAGACTTGCTTTATTACCTAACGTATGGTCTTTTTTGTTAATGTTCCGTATGCACTTGAAAAGAAATGTATTTTTCAGAATTGGGTGTAGTAGCAATTGTGTGTGAAAGTGACACTACACGTCTACTAAAATTCTCCCATCATCCTCTCAGTTTAAGCATTGTTATTATCCATATTACCTGTGGCTTTGTTATTTCTATTTTCATTTTCTTGGTAATTTGATCCTATTCTGTAGAATTTCTTATAATGTTTTTATTGAAATTTGGTATGTTACTTTTGTTTTCTTTTTTATTTTAACTCATCTTTATTGTTGAATGTATTATAGATGTTCCCCTCTTTTTTTACCTCATTGACTCCATCCTCCCCAATCCTGCCCCCATCCTGCCTTCCCCACACTATTGTAGATGTCCATTGGCTATGCATATATTTATTTATGGAAGTTCTTTGGTTTATCTCATCCTGCCCTCCCTCCCCCCTTCCCTTTGAGGTTCATTAGTCCAACAACCAATTTGTACTTCTTAATTCCTTCATCTTTTTCACCTGTCCTTCTAGCCCCCAGCTATCTGGCAAGCAACAAAAAGTTCTCTGTATCTATGAATCTGTTTCTGTTCTGCTTGCTCATTTTGTTTGTAGATTCAATTGTTGATAGATAGGTATTAATTGCCATTTTATTGTCCATATTTTTGTTCTTCTTCTCCTTCAAGAAGACCCTTCAACATTTCATATAAAACTGGTTTGGTGGTGATGCACTCCTTTAGCTTTTTCTTGTCTGGGAAACTCTTGATATGTCCACCAATGACAGAAAACTTTCCTACCTTGGTGAAGGAAACAGACATACAGAGAGCCCCAAACAAGATGAACCCAAAGAAGTACGCACCAAGACACATCATCATCAAAATGCCAAAGGTTAAATGCAAAGAGAGAATCTTAAAAGCAGAAGAGAAAAGCAGTTGCCTACAAAGGAGCTCCCATAAGACTGTCAGTTGATTTCTCAAAAGAAACTTTGCAGGCCAGAAAGGAATGGCAAGAGACATTCAAGATGATGAAAAGCAACAACCTACAACCAAGATTACTCTATCCTGCAAAGCTATCATTTAGAATTGATGGTATATTGCTTTTGTAGGGCTGCCATCACAAAGTAACAAACAGCTGTTTGCCATAACAAAAAATGTGGTTTAAACAAAAGAAATTTATTGTCTCATTTCTGGAGTCTAGAAGTTGAAGATCAAAGTGTTGGCAGAGTTGGTTCTCTCTGAGGACTATGAGGGAAGAATCTACTTCATGCCCCTATCCTTGGCTTGCAGATGGATGTGTTCTCCTTATGAATCTTCACATTCTGTCTTTGAGTATGTCTATGTCCAAATTTACTCTTTTGATAAGGTTCCCAGTTATATTGCATTAAGGCCCATATCACTTACCTTATTTTACCTTCATTATCTCTGTAAAGACCCACTCTGAATAAGGTCACATTCTGATATCCTGGGGTTAGAAATCACATATGAAGTCAGTGGGGACACAATTCAACCCAGACAACTGGATGTTGTATATGAAAAGTTGTAGAAGCTCTGAATGATGTCTTTGTGAAGTCCATTTTTTTTCCTTCTTGTATCATTCTGTACATTTCTTATTAATCATATTCCAGTTTTTTTTTTCTGTTTTTCTTTGTACGTGACATAGATTTAAATTTTTATTGGTGCTATCATATACTTTTTTATTTTTCATGATATTTATTTAATAATAAAGGATTTTTAGAGGGTACAATTTTCAAGGTCCCCTCCAGATACCACTCATACTTTTTTCCAGTGTGCCATTCAGATGACTCTTCTTAGACCATTTACCTGCTGCAAAGAATCTTATTCTTCTATAATATAAAGTTAGGAACACTTTTCTTTTCTTTTTTTTTTTATCCTCACCCGAGGACATTTTTCCATTTTTTGTTCGGAGGGAGAGAGAGGGGGAGAGAGAGAGAAACAACGAAGTGAAAGGGACACATCGAGTGGCTGCCACCCACACAACCAACCAGGGCCAGGGACAAACTGCAACTGAGATACATGCCCTTAGCGGGAACCGAACCCAGGTCTCTCTGGACCGCAGGTCGACACTCTAACCGCTCAGCCAAACCGGCCAGGGCACAGAACACTTTTAAATAGCTTTTTCTCTGGCTAAAATAATTTCTAAATACTAACCAAATAAATCATTTAATGACTCATTTTCTGTTATATTCTAAAGGGTTCTCCATACACATCTCTGGTCTCTCTTTCTTCTCCTACATTCTATTCCAGAGGAATTTTATTGCTTAATTGGATAAGCAAAATGTGAAGGTAGTTGCTGTGTTATGTTGCTAGAAGTGTAGCATTCCTTATAGTTCTATCTAATAGGAGTGTCTCTTACAATGAGCAGGAAAATTTACTTTCTAGGAGGGCTGGGAGTAAGCAAGCAACGTGTTCTCTCAAGTGAGGTGGCACCTTTGGTATTTACCTTCAGCATGGTGAATCAGGTATGTGTCTAAACCAAAAGATAATCATCAGGTAAGCTTCTTCCTCAGAAATGTGAGTTATGGTGACTAGCAGGCATGTGGGAACTCTACTTCCCTGTTCTCAATTCAGAATCCTGAAGCTTCAAATATACACACAGGAAGGAAAGCACATATAATGATTATATATCATTATTAATTTTGTAAATATTTTTAAAGCATGACTGAAAGGAAACACTATTTAACATATTATTTATAAGTATTATTGAAAGTATTTTGAATTCTCACATTGCAGGTTGCTTATATGATTACAATTAATGAAAAAGCATATTTTATCCATCTCAAGAAGCAGTAAGTAATTATTTTATTATTTCAAATTGTAATTCTTTGGTTTCTTGATTTAAAAAAATAGTTATGAATAGGATAATTTTAATTTAGATGTATATTTGATACCTATATACATTTGATATCTATTGTATATAGGTAATTGGGTAAAGTCTTAAGCATACAAAAGACAATAAAACATGGTATGCATTTAAAGAATTTATAATGCAGAAAAATATATTCAAACACAATAGGGAAACTGATAATTTTATTATAATATGGTATTATGATAAATGTAGAAGCAGGTGTCTCTGAAAATCTGGGAAGGCTTTTTGAAAAGAGGTAAGAGATGCTTATTCACTTGTATCTTGAGGGAAGATACCTTTAGCTCTGTAAAGAAGTGAGGTAGTATAGGGGGTCATTCTATTTAGGGGAAATTATGTGTAAAACATGGAGGTGTGAGACCAAGTGGATTCTGTGGCGTGCAAAAAGTCAGTGTAAATTACTAAAGAACATAATTTCTGGAGAACAGGAATAAAAGATTTTGGAAAGTTGATTGGTAGAACCAAGTTGTAAAAGTTCTATCATGCTGTGGTAAGTATATTGCAAACCAAAATGTTTGTAAGAATATACCTATATAGGCTCATTGAGTCTTGTAGGCAGATTTTGAGGGGATAAAAGTAGAGGCAGGGCATCTAATTATATGATTATGTAATAGTTTAGGTGAGTGATGATTAGTAGCTTGAACATATGGTGGTATATAGGTCATAGAAGAGGAAGTACAGCATTCAATAGGCCTTGAAGACAGATTTTGTAGTGTGACTAAGAAACAGTGAGGAATCTTGGATAATTTAGTTGTTGCTTAAGAAACCAGGTCAGTTATAGTGTAATTAAATGAGGAATGTGAACAAGGGAGATCTTTATGTAGGGAAAGTATAAGCTTGGTTTGCAGTGTTTATAAGATATCCAAGTGGGTTTTTTCCACTAAGTAAATGAATATAGGAATGTGAATTTCTTGAGCAGAGGTTGGTAATTTGGATATAGATTTAACAGTAATCATTAGTTTGGCTGTAGTTTTTTTTTTTTTTTTTTTTTTTTTTAAGTGAGAGCATATAAAGTGCTTATAAATAGATTGGTAACTAAAGACTAAATCCTGGCAAAGACCAATATTTTGGGACAGGTTGGTGACTAAAGATTAAATCCTGGTAAAGACCAATATTTTGCGACGGGTAGAACAAAAAAAGAACATGAAGACTGTGCCCTAGACCAGGAGTTGACAAAAATTTTCTGTAAAAAGACAGATAGTAAATATTATTGACTAAGATGCTGTATACTCTGTTGGAAGTGAACAATTTTGCACTGTAGTGCAAAAGCAGCCATAAAAAATATGTAAACCAATAAGACTGGCTGTATTTCAGTAAGATTTTATTTACAAAACATGCAGCCAGCCAAATTTGGCCCATGAATTATTGTTGGCTGACCTCTGGAAGACAAGCAGAGGAATGATGTGTGATTAGACTGAGTGGGCACAGCTTCCAAAATGATGCTAGAAATCCAGTACAATGATTATTATAAAATTACCTTTTGGGTTTGACATTCTAGTAGTCATGAATTTTTTCAGAGCAGTTTCATGGTGAATAAGCATTGACAAAGTGGAGAAACTGTGTGTAAACTACTCTTGATAAAAATAGGTTGCACATTGAGAAATATATAAGGAATAGCTAGAGTAAGATACAGGGTCAAGGGAGAGTTATTTAGAATAGTAATGATTTGATAATAGACTTGAAAAATAGTGTTAAGATAAAAAACAATAGAGAGAAAGAGTTTGAAATTATAGAACTAAAAACGTATGTATCTTCACATATAGCACAGAAATGGGATTTGTAGCACAAGTATAAGAATTTGCTTTGTAACAAAGTATTTATCTTCTGGAAATAAAGTTAAGAGGTGAGGATGGGTACAGGCTATCTGTAAGTGAGGCGACATGGAGGTTTGTGGGATGACTGAAAAGTGGCGGCAAGCTTTTGAATAGTTACTGAGGAGAATGAAAGAAAATTCTGACCAAGTTTGTTGAGAAGAACTTGGTAATTAACTCAACTTAGTGAATATGAGTTTGTAGCAATGAGAAGGAAATCTTTGTAAATTGTGTTCTAACCCTACATTTTAATTTTGAGATTCCGCTTTAAAATCTGGAACCAATGAGCAATAAAGACAAAGATTTAAAAGTTCCATGCTGGAAATTGAGACCTGTGTTGTTGTATGTGATATTTCTAGCAATTTAGGTTGTTCATTAGTACAAATTTTGGTATTATATGTCACCAGTTAAAATGCCGCTCTCCGTGCCTAATTTATTGTAACCAATAGAGAAGTATTTGGAAAATTGAATATGCCAAGAAAATTGACACTACTTTAAATTCTCCAGTAAAAAAAAGAATAGTTATGAAGAATAATTTTTTCTCTGTTTTCTGTTTCACAACTTGAGCATGTTTTTTGTGCTTTTTACCTAGATCATTTTTATCTCCAATTTCTGTTGTTTATTCTTATGGAACAGATGACACCCAGTATACTGACAATTTGTTAGGTCAGGTAAGACTTAAGTCTTTTTTTTTTTTTTTTTCTTATGGATTTCTTATTCTGAAGTTTCCTTAAAATATTAATATTCTAAAGTTACTGGAGTATTATTTTGCACATTCACGAAAATGAATGACTTAAACTAGTTCTTATTTCTACCTGGCACAGCAGTTCATATCAATGTACACAGGTAGCTAATGTGATAACATGTAAATGTCATCTATGGGATGACCATTTAAAAAAATAAATTATCCATTTGTTTTTCTTTGTGTACTTTTTTTCTTTTCAGATGGATTGCAATTATAATGGATATATTGCAGGCTTTCCAAATTCTCTTGTGTCACTCAACACTTGTTCAGGACTCAGGTTGTAACCTATGGGAATATATTCCATTTGCCATTACTAGATCCTGCTAGTGTACTAGTTGATCCATCACATATCTTTTCTGGTTCTACAGCCACCTTTGTTATTTCAATTCCCCAAGGAGTGAGCAAGAATTACTAATAAAGTAGAGTTGGTCACCCTGATAGGAGGCTACTGCTGGGAGGCTACTTGTTGATTCTGATAGGACCTGCTGCTTGAGGAAGAGATTGTTTTATTAATTTCCTAGAATGGCTGACAATGGCTGAAAATCCTCAGTATGATAGATACTTTGGGTCAGTTCCAGTAATTTTTAGGCAGGTAGTTGATTCTGATAGGACCTGCTGCTTGAGGAAGAGATTGTTTTATTAATTTCCTAGAATGGCTGACAATGGCTGAAAATCCTCAGTATGATAGATACTTTGGGTCAGTTCCAGTAATTTTTAGGCAGGTAGTGTCTTCAATTCAGCTCACTCATCAAATTATTTAGGACATGAAGTGTCAGGGAGAGTTAGGTGTATCAAAAAGAAGAAATAAACTTCAAACTAAGGGAGAGAGTGCCTATAGGTCCTACAGACTGGCTTAGAAAATCTATACCCTAGGAAGGAGTCCTAACCTGTTTAAGCACATGCATCCATGCCACAAACATGGTTTGTAGAAGATATTTTTGTTGAGATATTTATAATATAAAGAAATACATATCCTGCAGTATGACTAGTCCAGTTCTGGGTAACACCTCAAAAAACAAAGAAATAAATGAGAAAGACTAAGGTGATTTTAAATGTAAGAAAAGTCTGGCCAACCTTTGTCATTTGAATATTAGATTACAGTTTTGGTAGAATCATTTTAGATTTGTTTTTATTATTTCAACATTCAGGGGAACATTGCAGTTGAAAAACATCTCATATGGAATCGAACCAATGGAGACGACATCAGAATTCATGCACATGATTTTTGAAGACGAAGATTTTGACACTAACATACCTCTCATAGGAGATGACAATTATATATATAGTAATAATAATCCTGAGTACAAGAACAGTTCAGAAGTAAGTGTTGACTTTTTAATTTTAATGTATTCAGTATAATTTTGTGAATAAAAATTAAGTTCAGAGCAAAGTTTGATGACTTGCAAATATTAAAATTATTTTACTTTTTCATGAGTTTCCTGCATGACTTTAAAAATAAATAGAGATAAATAGAGAATGAAATCTCAAAGGGGTAGGGAATGGGGGACGGGGGATGGAAAAGATTAACCAAAGAATATATATGCATATATACATAGCCCATGGATATAAATAATAATGTGGTGAAGGGCTGTGGGGGCTGGGTAGAGGGGGCAAAGGGAGAGAAATAGGGGGCATCTTTAATAGTGCCAACAATAAAAAATAAATGAATAGAGAATGAAATTGCGTTGTTTGTTATGGTTGTTATTAGATAAAAGTTTAGCAAAAACATAAGTAATTGATCTTGGAAACAGATATATGAATATAGGATTAAAGAAACAAAAAAACTATTTTTGACATGTGGGAGTTTGAATAAGTAATGTAAATTATTTATTTTCCTCAATTGTCTGATAATTTACATGATATAAATATATGTGATCTGAATTTCTAAGTTAAGTCTGTGTTTCAGGAGAGTTCAGAAATGAACGTTATCAGTGGCTTACATAAGGTACATGTGAAACAAAGGGATTAATTCCTCCTCCACAAACACCTGTAAACTGCCATAAATAACATCCCTATCTCTAGTGGACATCATTGATCATACTTTGGTAATATTTTTTGAACTATATCACTTGCCACCAGGCCAGTGTGGCTCAGTGGTTGAGCATTGACCCATGGACCAAGAGGTCACTGGTTTGATTCCCAGTTGGGGCACATGCCCAGTTTGTGGGCCAAGTCCCCGGTGGGGGGCGAGCTGGAGATGACCAGTGATGTTCTCTGTCATCGATGTTTTTATCTCTCTCCCTCTCCCTTCCTCTCTCTCTAAAAATCAATAAATGAAAAACATTTATAAACTGTATCACTTGCCAAAAGTAGTTTCCTAATAATTGGTAGCAGAAAATCTCACATGGAAGATTACTATGAACATTATCACAAGGCTAAGGAAAGAAAAGCTATATATTATAAAGTTAATATTTCCAATTTTATCTATGGCTAAAATCAAAAGATACCTGTGTTGTTTAGCTTGGGGTCTAATTAAAAATTTTTTTTAACCTCAGGCACTGTTTGGACTGGAATTTTTCAGATAATAACTAAATTTTGTATTTGAAAATACCCTTGTTATATAATCCATAGTAACTTGTCTCTCAGTTTATCTTTGAATATAATTTCAATAGAAGATACATTTTTAGAAACTCCTCAGTATTCATGTTGTGTGTTTTTTCAGAGAGTTGAATATTTCAAGTTATTCCCTCAATACCTTGAAATGTATATTGTTGTGGATAAAAATCTGGTAGGTCCTTTTTATATATTATTTTAAAAAAATTATTTAGCATTTGTCTTTAACTTGATTTCAATAATGTAATAAATTTTTAAACCAATATTTGATGTTTATTTTGCTTTTAGGGCAATAAATTCTTCAAATTGTGGATAAGCCAAGTTCTTGTTAATTAATTAATTTTGTATATATGATTTCTAATTGCATTTATAAAGTGAAGCATCTTTTCATTTTCTAAACCTTGTCTGTTATTTTTCCTTTTTTTTTTTTTTTAGAAGGACTGCATTCTCAATGAAAGTATAGATTAGCGCTTCTCCAAATCCTCAACACTACATGCAGGAATATTTAACTGCCTCAACCTAACTGTCAGAGTAGTCTACTGAACACGTATGCCACCTCTAACAAGCAAAAGAAAAACACAAGTTATCTGTTTTGTTCTTAGTTCTAAGTAAATGAAATGAAAGAAAAACAAATGAACAAAACTTTCATATTGAGTATTTGTGACTATACTTCAGATCTTGTATAGGTTTAAGTTTTGAATTTATAAAACTTAAAGGTGGTTAGGGTATTCTAAACTAGGAGGCTATATTTGTCCTAGGCTGGTCAGATCTGAGGGCACCTGATGGAAGCAAATGGTATTTCTCCCAGGAGGAATGCAACTTCAAACAGGATTCCCACAGATTAATATCAGCCATGTATAAGTTCAAAATCCATAAGAAAATACAGTGAACAAGGGTTAGCAAAATAAAATATTATATATTTAGATCCATAAAACCTTCAGATATTAATATTTTAAGATATAGGTTATAAAACAAAAATGTTTTTCCCAAAAGAAAGTCTGTTAATGCTGAAGATGTAAATATGGGGCAAGGAAGTATGGACATAATTATTGGCAGAGGTAACAAAAATTGAAGCTCATAACTCACTAAAGAGTTGGAGAGCTTATGATAGCTAAGTTGACCCAGTAGATAGCCAACACACACTCTAAAATCATATTTCTGTAAAATTACAAAGCAATTAGAGACTGGTAATCAGAATTTTAAGCACAATAAACAAAAAGGAGGCAATAAAGGGAAATAAAAACATTAAGCATTTGTTTCATAAATATGAAACAAATTTAAAAGATAAGATTAAGGTAAAAGATTTAAACTCAAATATATAAGTAATTTTAGTAGATGTAGAGGGAATAAATACTGCAATTAAAAACAAAATATAAAGATTAAAAGCAAGACAAATGACAGTATTTTATCTTTTGTTATGGCTCAGTAGTATTCCTTGTATATATGTACCACATGTTTATTCAATCATCTCTTGAAAAAACTTCAGTTGTTTTTATGTCTTGGCCACCTTGAACAGTGCTTCAATGAACATAGGGGTATACATATCTTTATGAATAAATGTTTTAAAATCTTCAGGTAAATACCCAGAAGAGGCGGGTGTTGCTGGGTCATACGGTAATTCTATCCTTTTTTAAAAAAATTAAATATATTAGGGTGATGTTGGTTAATAAGATTATTTAGGTTTTAAGTACACATTTCTATGATATTTGATCTGTATATTGCATTGTGTGCTCCCCCAAAGTCATATCATCTTCTGTCTCCATATATTTGACCCCCTTTACCATTTACTGCCCTACCCACCTTCCTTCCCTTTGGTAACCACCATACTGTTGTCTGTGTCTATGAATTTTTGTTTGTTTTTCTTTTTTTTCATTTGTTATTTTCAATTTTATATCTCACATATATTATTATTATTATTAATTTTTTAAGGAATCTCCATACTATTTTCCATAAAGGCTGTACCAGTTTACATTCCCACCAGCAGTAAATGAGGGTTCCTTTTTCTCCACAACCTCTCCAATACTGTCACTTGTCTTGTTGATAACAGCTATTTTAAGAGGTGTGACATGGTATCTCATTGTAGTTATGATTTGCATTTCCCTAATAGCTAGTGAAGTTGAACATCTCTTCCTATATGTATTGTCCATTTGAATGTCTTTTTGGGAGAAGTGTCTGTTCAGGTCTTCTGCCCATTATTTAACTGGATTGTTTGTTTGGTGTTGAGTTGTATGGGTTCTTTATATATTTTGGGTATTAACTTCTTATAGGAGCTGTTGTTTGTAAATACAGTGATACCTCGGTTCTCGAACGCCTCGGTTTTCGACCAAATCGGTATTCGACCAGGAGATTCGAGAAACTTTTGTCTCGGAATCCGAACAAATATTTGGAACTCGAACTTCCGAGATGAGCCGAGTTGAGCCGAATGGCGTTCATTCGGCCCAGCGCGCCTTGCTTGCGTCATCAGTGTGAGTGCAGAGAGAGAGTCACGCTTTGTGGAGTCACGCTTTCCTATTGGTTTCATTGCTTCGGTTCTCGAACAATTCGGTTCTCGACCGTCCTCCTGGAACGAATTATGTTCGAGAACCGAGGTATCACTGTATCTTCTCCCATCCTGTTGGCTGCCTTTTTGTTTTGTTAGTGGTTTCTTTTGCTATGCAGAAGCTTTTTAGTTTGATATAGTCCCATTCATTTATGAAATACCACATTTAAAAAATTATAATTCAGTATTCATAAATAGTAATTAAGGATACAAGTTAAGTACATTAAACATTGCTTAAAATCATGTTAAAAGTAACATGCTCTAACCATTGAGATAGAACTTCATGGAATTGTATACTTGAAGCCTATATAATTTTATTAACCAATGTTACCTCAATAAATTAATAAAAAAATTATAACTGTAGGACTATCATTAAAGTTTTCAAAAAAACACTATTGCAAAAGAAGACAAAAACAAAATCATGTTATTAAATGCATTTATTTATTATATATGTTATATTATCAATTAAATAATTTATTTTTATAAATCATTATTTATACATCATTATTCATTTCTTGGATTACAATTGGAATGTAATTCCATCGCTGATGTACAATACAGTACATTGTATATATAAAGCTCATGTGATATATTAATGGCATCCACTAGTTTTTAAAAGCAATTTATCTTTTTCAGTTTGATTACATGGGCTCTGATGTAAAGGCTGTAACACAGAAGGTTATTCAGATAATTGGATTGGTTAACACTGTAAGTTTTTAAAAAGTCTTCTGTTAATACATTTTATAAAAGTATATATGTATACTTTTGATGTGTATAGTATTTCGTTGTATTATTGAAGAATTTCCATGATCAAAATACCAAATTAAATGTCTTAAATATATTTTTATAAAGTTTAACATAATGTTTAAATTAAAATATTTTTATTTATCTTATTTTTTTAGATGCTTACTCAGTTAAAACTGACAGTTCTAATATCTTCCATAGAAATCTGGTCAAATAAAAACAGAATTTCTACTTTGGGAACTCCTTATCAAATATTATTTAGATTTTTACAATGGAAATCTATACATGTCTTCCAACCTTATGATATGGCATACTTACTGGCGTGAGTATAGTATTCTGTGCTTGTATAGCATACAGGAATAATGCAAAATGATTTCATATGTTAATTATAAAAAATAAGCACCTATTTAATATATACAATATTCTACAAATGTGGTAGATATGATTGGTATGGGGAAAATGTAAGTTAAAGTCCTTGTCCTCAATGAGCTAATGTGAGGAGAGACATAAAATTTTTTATCAACTGACACAAAATAACCTGATAAAAGTGAAGTTACATAAAAGTGTTGAAATAATTAAGGGAGATTAATTATGAGTGATACACTTTCTTTGATGTCGCTTGGCCTTTAAACTTTTACTCCTTGTTATCTTATCTCTACATCCTGTCTCTCATCTGATTAATTTTTATGTTTTTATTTTCTAATAACATAAATATATTGAATATATAGTCAATACATTATCTAGAATCTTATGTGCAGAAAAACCTATTCATTTTTAGTGAATAAATGAATAAGGAGAAGATAGAAAATTAAATTTTGGAGCTGTGAATGTCGAGGAAACCAGAATAAAAGATACAATCATTAGTGCAAATGCATTTGACGTAATTGTTAGGCTTTATCCTTATTATTCTTCTGAGTGTTTATGAAATACAAAATTTACATATATTTTGAAATAGCTTTAACATTGTAGGTATTAGAAAAATGTGTTTAATTTATCTTAATTCAGAGTAGCATGGCACTTAGGACATAGTAATTGTTCACTAACGTTTGTTACTATGAAAATTTATCATCAATAATACCACTCTTAAGTGCAATTATGAGGAACTTTTTATTTTTTAGCTTCAAGGAACATATTCATTTTAAAGGAGCCATAGGTCCTGAAAAAGTATGTAATAAGGATTATGCTGCAGCAGTTGCTCTGGTATGTAATTATTACTCAGTTTGCTCTCATTGTTTTCATGTTTCCAAATTTCCTAAAGATAAAGCATGAATAAATATATTTCAGTTTACTTATTCCTTTTTGTTTTTTTAAGCTTTAGATAGATTGGGGGTAGGGATATGGAGAGGGAGAGAGAGAAACATCAATATGAAAGAGAAACATTGACTGGTGGCCTCCCGCATGACCCTGACCAGGGCTGGGGGTGAACTGCAACCAAGGTAAGTGCCCTTGACCGGAATCAAACCCATGACTCATTGGTAAGCAAGCTGTTGCTCTAACTGCTGAGCAAAATTGGCCAGGGCTCATATTGTTTTTAAAAAATATATTTGGCCTCTTACGTCAAACAGTGGTGTTTGTTTTGAACAGTGGTGTGCTTGCATCATATGTTTATATATTCAATACAATCTTAATGTTAATTATTGAACATCAAGTTTTCTCTCAAAATTAATAATTTGTGTACATTCATTTGCTTTTTTATTAAGTGACATTATTTTTTCTATTTTAATGTAACTATTTTATTATTGCATCCAAGTATTTATGTTTGGGAGGATTAGACTTGTAGGGAAAATGGCTATCAAATTTTCATAATCTGTTTTCTGGGGAAAGTGAGAGTGAGCTCTTACTGCAGTGTTATATTGCATTTATAATAAGTTATATATAAAAAAAGAAAGGAAACTAACTTGAGAGTGCTCCAGAAAAAGGTGTGTGCACTGTGATTTTCACACTGACCAATTTGTGCACTTGGTTGACTTTTAGTAGCAACTACAATGAAGCAAATCACCCTTGACAGATTAGAAAGATTTAATATCAGTTCTGGTATGTACTTGTTGTAACATTATGTAAGTTTAAGATCTACAGAGTAATGATTTAATATGTGTGCATATTGGGAAATGATTGCTACCATAAAATTAACACATCTATCATCTCACATCATTACTATTTGTGTGTGCGTGTGTGGTGAGTGTATGTGTGGTGCGAACCTTTAAATCTACTCACTTAGAAACTTTCAAATATACAATACAGTATTGTTAATTCTCCTTACTGTGATGTACACTGCATCCCCAGAAACTAGAAGTTTGATCACCTTTACTCATTCCCATCCCAGAGTCCCCATCCTTGGGAACCACCAATCTGTTCTTTGCTTCTGTGAGTTTGGTTGTTTTAGATTCCATATATAAGTAAGATTATACAGTATTTGTCTTTCTCTGTCTGACTTACTTCACTTAGCATAATGCCCTTAAGATTTATTCATGTTGTTTGTGTATATATATGTACACACACACACACACACACGTGACAATTTCTTTATCCATTCACCTATTGATGAACATTTAGGTTGTTTTCATATCTTGGCTATTATGAATAATTTGCATTGAACAGGGGGTGCAGATATCTCTTTGAGATGGTGATTTCATTTTCTTCAGATATATACCAAGAAGTGGAATTGCTGATTCATATGATAGTTCTATTTTTAATATATTTTAGGAAACACCATACTGTTTTCTATACTGGTTGTACCAATTTTTCATTTCCATCAACAGGGCATAAGGGTTCCGTTTTCTTCACGTCTTTGGCATGATTTACTATTTTGTATTTTTGATAGTAGCCATTTAAACAGGCTTGAGGTGATTTCTCTGTGGCTTTGATTTGTATTTCCCTGACAATTAGTGATGTTAGGCATCCTTTAATGTACCTATTGGTCATTTAAAATCTTCTTTAGAGAAATTTTCAGATTATTTGACTGTTTATCAGATTATTTGTTTTTTTGCTAGTGAATTGTATATGAGTTCTTATATTTTGAATATTGACTCCTTAACAAGTTTCCTATATTTTGGATATTAACTCTTTATCAAATGTATAGTTTACACATATTTTCTCACATTCTGTAGGCAGCCTTTTCATTTTGATGATCAGTTCTTTTGCTGGGCAGAACATTTTACAATGATGTAGTCCCACTTGTTTGTTTTTGCTTCTGTTTGTGGTTTTGATATGATATCCATAAAATAATTGCCAAGACCAATGTCAAGGAGATGTTTTACTATCATTTCTTCTAAAAGTTCTATGATTTTACTTCTTAACTTTTAATTTTCAATTCATTTGCGTACATTTTTGTGAATGGTCTAATATCCAGTGGTAAATATCCAGTTTTTCCAACACCATATTCTGAGGAGGCTATCTTTTCTCTACTGAGTATTCTTGGCTCCCTTGTCAAATATTAGTTGATCATATAATCAGGGGTTTGTTTTGGGACCCTCTATTCTATGCCTATATCTTCATTAAAAAAATGTTGTTATTTATTTTAGAGAAATGGGGGGAGGGAGAGGTAGAGGGAAAGAAAGGGAGGGAGAGAGGAAGAGAAGGAGGGAGAGAGAAAGAGAGAAATCAACTCAACCAGGGAATGAACCCGCAACCTGGGCATGTGCCCTGACCGGGAATTGAATCTGACCTTTTGGTGCATGGGATGACACTCAACCAACTGAGCCACACTGACCAGGGCTATACCATACTTTTTGATTACTATAGATAGCATTGTAATATAGTTTGAAAAAGTGAGGTGTGATGCCTCCAGTTTGCTTTTCCTCCTCAGGATTGTTTTGGCTGTTTGGAGTCCCTTGTGGTTCTATACACATTTTAGCACTGTTTTTTCAGTTTCTATGAAAAATGATATTGGATTGCATTGACTCCATAGATGGCTGTGGGTAAGAGCATTTTAACAATATTAATTCTTTTAAACCACAAACATGGGATATCTTCCCATTTATTTATGTGATCTTTAGTTTCTTTCATCAATATCTTATAGTTTTCAGAGTAGAGATCATTCACCTCTTTGGTTAAATTTATTTTATTGTCTTTGTTACTACTGTAAAAGAGATAAATTTAAAAAATCTCTCTGATAGTTTATTAGACTATAAAAATGCAACAGACTGTTATGTATCCAGATATTTTACTGAATTCGTTTTTCACTCCAAACATATTTTGGGGGGAATGTTTAGAAATTTTAGGGTTTTCTATATAAAATATCATGTCATATGCAAATAGTAACACCTTTACTTATTTTTTAAAAAATTATTTTTGTTACGGATGTTTCTCCTTTTTCCCCCATTGACACCCTCCTCCCCATCTCCCCCACCCCATCTCCAGCTTTATTGTCTATGTCCATTGGTTATGCATACATGCATATGAATTCTGTGGTTTATCTCTCCCCCCACCCCCTCTTCTGAGGTTTGTCAGTCTGTACCCTATTTCTATGTCTCTGGGTCTATTTTGTTCTTCAGTTTGTTTAGTTCACTATATTTCACAAATAAGTGAGATCATGTGATATTTGTCTTTCTCTGCTTGGCTTGTTTCGCTTAGCATAATACTCTCAAGGTCCCTCCATGTTGTCTCAAAGGATAAGAGATCTTCCTTTCTTACAGCTGCATAGTATTCCATTGTGTATATGTACCACAACTTTTTTATTCACTCAGCTATTGATGGACACTTGGGCTGTTTCCAGATCTTAGCTATTGTAAAGAGTGCTGCTATGAACATAGAGGTACATATATTCTTTCTGATTGGTGTTTCAGGTTTCTTAGGGTATAGTCCTAGAAGTAGGATCACTGGGTCAAATGGAAGTTCAATTTTTTATTTTTAGAGGTAACACCATAGTGTTTTCCATAGTGGCTGCATCAGTCTGCATTCTCACCAGCAGTGTACAAGAGTCCCCTTTTCTCCACACCCTTGCCAGCACTTGTTCTTTGGTGATTGGTTGATGGAGGCCATTCTGACAGGTGTGATGTGATTCCTCATTGTTGTTTTAATTTGCATCTCTCTGATGATTAGTGATGTTGAGCATTTCTTTATATGTCTCTTAGCCATCTGTATGTCCTGTTTGGAGAAGTGTCTCTTTAGGTCCTCTGCCCATTTTTTAATTGGGTTCTTTGTCTTCCTTTTGTTGAGTTGTATGAGTACTCTATATATTTTGGAAATTAACCTCTTATCTGATGTATCATTGACAACTATGGTCTCCTATAAAGTGGGTTGCCTTTCCATTTTTATGGTTGTTTCTTCTACTGTGCAGGAGCTTTGAGTTTGATGTAGTCCCATGTGTTAATGTTTTCCTTTGTTTCTCTTGCCTTAGTTCTTATATCAGTGAAAATTCTGCTGCGTATGATGTCTAAAATTTTGTTGCCTACATTTGTTTTTTGTTTTTTTAAGATTTGTATGGATTCATGAGTGACATTTAAGTCTTTTAACCATTTTGAGTTTATTATGGTGTAAGTTGGTGGTCTAGCTTCATTTTTCTTGCATGTAGCTGTCCAATTTTCCCAACGCCATTTATTGAGGAGGCAGTCTTGACTCCACTGTATGTTCTTGCCACCTTTGTCAACTATTAATTGAACATATTGTCTTGGGTCAATTTCTTGGTTCTCTTTTTTGTTCCAATGATCTATCTGTCTGTTTTTGTGCCAGTACCAGGCTGTTTATTACATTGGCCTGGTAGTATACCCTGATATCTGGTATTGTGATCCCTCCTACTTTGTTCCTTTTTTTTCAAGATTGCTATGGCTATAGGAGGTCTTTTTTGGTTTCATATGAACTTTTGAAGTATTTGTTCTAGTTCTGTGAAATATGTTATTGGTATTTTGATGGGAATTGCATTGAATCTATAGATTACTTTAGGTAGTATGGACATTTTAATGATGTTAACTCTTCCAATTCATGAACATGGTGTATGCTTCCACTTTTTCATATCTTCCTTTATTCCTTTTTTCAATAACCTGTAGTTTTCTGTGAAGAGGTCCTTTACTTCTTTGGTTAAGTTTATTCCTAGGTATCTTAATTTTTTGGTCACAATGGTAAATGGAATTGTTCTTTTCGTTTCTTTTTCTGTGAGTTAATCATTGGTTTATAAGAATGCCATCAATTTCTTGACATTAATTTTGTATCCTGCTACTTTACCAAATTCATTTATTAAGTCTAGTAGATTTTTGATAAAGTCT